GAAACTTAAGCGACACAAGTTCTTTCTTAATAAAAACTGGTTTATTCTTTCCAAATACAACTTTACCGATACACTCAACTAAAACAATCGCGCTAAACAAACGCTATTACGACGAACGTGCTCAATAATACTTCTGACTGCAGATCAATTACTCACTGTCTATCCACACATTACCTTCCCCTCTGTTATATACCAGCCTACCCTATATCTAGTAATTACTAGAGCATTCGCCAAAGTACAGGATAGTTCTAGAAACATGGCGTCACGGTGGTCATGTGACTCGCTGATGCAACACTATGTTTTGATGCCATTTTAACATGATCTGCTCAAAATATCACAGAAAATAAACATTAAAGACATATGGGTTTTACAAATGATATACTAAATGAAAAATACCAGGAATAAGGACTTTTTTTTTTGCTAAGGATGTTTTACTATTAAATTTTGTGTCTACTTCTTTGAAAGAACTACAAATCAGCTACATCCACAAGCAAGTCAATAATATCTAATAAATCTCATTTATTAATCAGAAGAATCTGAATAACATGGTTCACATAAGATATATGGGTACCTGAGGAATAATGGAGATCTTTCCCCTTAATTCATGCAGACCAACTTTTTTGGTGTCAATTCCATCTATTTCAATTAGTCCTTGTGGTTCAGTCATTCGAAAAAGTGCAGTAATTATTGAACTCTTTCCTGCCCCAGTTCGTCCCACAATACCAATCTAAACATTAATGAAAAAGTTCTTTACTTTCAGGTACAGTGGCAAACAACATTTAAAACAGTACTTAATGAAACGTACAATACTGAAGAACTTAATTATACAGTTTAAAAAAGCGAATTTAAATAAAGAACAGTTAAAACAACTCAGAAAACATAAGATCAATAGTGGGTTGATCTATTAACTCATTCAGCACGGGCTTGGTCCCTGGGATCGACCTCATAACCATTTTGTGCTTGTTATACTTTTAAATTAAAAAGTGTATCTTCACAAAATTTGGCAGATTATCATTACAAGGCTTTCATACGCAAAATATCAATTTTTTTTATTAAGCCTTAAGGTTTGTTAAGCAATGTTTTCTCATGCCTTTTTTCTTTTCTCATGTTGCCTATACAACACGCAAAGTAATTTTCATTTTAAGATTAGAAATGCTTTTATGTATCAGAAAAGTTTCAAATTTCACATACAAAATCTTTATAGCGTCCAGATAGTTATCAAATGTTTCTTAAGAAAAAACTTTACATTTGATGTGTTATCTTCACTAACCACCATACAAAATTAGGAAATAAATATAAATTATGCCTTTTCGTTCTAGAATGACTACAAATTATAACACAAAAACAAAAATGTTTAGACTAAGTAGCTTAAATCTCTTAACATTATACATTTATATATATATTCATTATACTGACCTTTCGCCATATCTGGCTAACAATACAGAAGTTACAATGACACAGTGCATGTGCACTCATGTTACTTAAAACTTTGAAAGTGAGTCAACAAACGTGATGGCATGGCCTTTGACCTGTAAGAGAGGGTTTAAGAGGACTTCCAATGGCCTACCTGGTGTTCAAATGTTCTATAGTTGGTAAATTACAAAACTTTTTTATCTGGTCAAATTTTGAAACACAATAAACTCAAAAGTACACCAATATTTTAAATATTACCAAATGGATTATACTGACAGCTGTTATTGTTTGATGAATTCTTAAACTATATGCTCACTTAATGAATGCAATATGTTAAAATATAATGAAAAAATATAAATTCATGAATAAATAATATAATTAAATGACATCTCTGTAGATGAAGCTTTAATTATATTATGGTGAAAATTTCATTCTGTGATCCAACCAAGAAAAACAGCCAAATAATGCAATATGAAAGGTGTAAACCTATTTCAGAATCAAATTTTATTATAAAAAGTTTGTTTAGTAGCATACCAACAAAAACAAAAGAAAAACTAACTTTTTCTTGAGATTTAATCAAACAGGACAGGTTCTTCAGCACAGGAAAGTCCTCAGGTGAATACTTTAGACATACATTTTCAAATCTAATCATCCCTCGTTGTGGCCAGTCTGGTGGTGGTTGCTGTTCAGCCGGAGCTTCTAGCGGAGCTTCAGAAGGCAAGTTACTGTACTCCATCAACCTTTCTACAGCTGTCATCTAATGAATTATTACACCACACCTTCAGTTAGCTTTGATATTCATTCAGGATATATAATGATTATGCTGTGACAAGATACACTATTAAAGATTTGACTTACTTATTTGGTTGGGGATAAATTATTTTATAATTATAAAAGTTATAAGTATTGTATTAAAATGGTACATTACAAGACACTGTGGCAAGACTTCCAATTATCTATCAAATAAATTATTAACCCATTGACTGCTGATTCACCAGACAGGGTATGGTCCACCTCTGTCATTTTAATGTGAGTTTGCTCTATACTGTGTATGGCTTGCAAAAATTCTGTGCAAGTTTAGAGCAGTTGCAGTTAATGGGTTAAATTAAACCATGATACAATCTAAAATAACTGTTTAACTTTCTACTTAGCTTTATAACACTATCTGGATAGCTTCTAACTAATTTTTTCAGAGCTAAATACTACTTACAAGAAGTCATGCAGCAAACTGATTATTGTAGTTCATTACAGAAATCTTTTTATTGAGGCAATTACTTACCACTCACTTTGTTCAGTTTCTTTGAACATGTTACATATCAAGCCAATATTAAAAAGATAACTAAAGTTAAAGAAAGCTTTGCTCTCTTCTCGAGCAGTGCCTACATACCTGACTCTCAACCTCTGCTGACTGTCTAACTCCCCACTGAAACATGCCACTTAGCATCATGGCTGAAGAAATTGCTAGCCCAACATTACCTCCAGAAGTACCTGTAAAAATCAGACTCAAAGTCAGAAAAGTTTAAGAGCAATACAATATTTATTTGGTTACTTGTTCAAATTTCATGAAAAGTTTATCATTTCTATAAGGCATTAATAAATTACAAATTACCAATGCAACTAGGAAATTTAATTGATTTGTTATAAGCAGTGATTACACTGATTAGTGTCTTATAAACTAATCGATTAATCAAAATTACAATTAAGTTGATTGTCACAAAAATAATAAACTAATTGAAATTAGGTTTTTCAACCACTCCAAACATCCAAGTAATCATGCTATTGCTATTATGTTTGCTTGTTGTTACACACAAAGCTACATAATTGGTGGGTGAGGGAATGTTTCATAATTTCAGGGTCTAGGGTTTGATTTCCATTACCATTAAATTTACTTGTCCCGTCTTTGTTATTGCAAAGCTACTAAGGCTATCTGCCATTTTCACTCGTTTAAACTGCTGACGAGCAAGAAGGCAACAGAATAGTTGCACCTACTGCCAACTCTATGGCTTTTTAAGTATTAATAAAATGTAAATTTACTATTTTATTACATTGTGTTGTGTTTCTAATTCATAATTATGTAGCTGTATTCTTTATAGTTGTATAAGCAGTCACAGATCTGGGGGGAGGCCCATGGAGTCCAGTTCCCCCCATCTATTTTTGTTCAAGATATTAATAACTATTCTTTAATATTTTATAACCAGATGTGAATCTATTGAAAGGGTCCTGGGGGCAAATACCCACATTTTGTGTAAGTACACATATATCTAGGAGGTATTCAAACCCGCTATTTCATTTCCAGAAATTAATAGGAAAATAGCCACGTAGTATCAAAAAGAAATGTCAAATGCCAGTGTTTTTATTTGATTTGCTTATTAATTACTGTGAAAGTAGTATTTCTTTCAATTTTTCTGAAGTTAACATAGCTGGAGTCTACAGCAATCCAGTTATGGCCTTGGGCAATAACTTATTTCTATACAAGTAAAATAAAATGAATATTAATTAAATGTTGCCATAGTAAATTCTCACTTCTTACCTCTTCCCATCATTCTAACAATGTGTGTATGCACTAGACTTTAGAGATTTCTTTTCATCAAAGTTAGTATTTCTTAGGATACCTGCAGCTCTTATAACATAGAATTGTTACAAAACTGATTTTTCATAGTTTGGAAGTTATAATAACCACGAGAAAAGTGTTTTCATATTGATGTCCAAAATGAGCAAAAATGCATGTGCTATGACTGTATAAGTGATGACTTAAAGAAAAAAAAAGGAGATTAAAATAGGCATCATGTTTACGAATGCTAAAATATAAATCTAGAAGTAGACTTTATATATTTTTTTCTGATGTAATTATAACTATTTAATTTCAATTACAAAATTTGAAATGTCTTTAACTCTTTCTAATTTCCCATCAATCACATGATTAGAAATATAAGCTTTGAAATTGATGGATTATAACCCAACTTCTTTTTAACATTTGTCCCAGTTACTTGAGGTCTGCTTTTCTGGTTCTTCATACTCAACGTTAAAGCTACATTCACATTACATTTTTAATGTCCTCTCTCAGTACATCCATTATCCACCCTTTCTTCAGTCTTCCTCTTACCCTTTTCTTTTCCTCTGTCATGATTACCACTCTCCTATGAACATACTACTTTTCTTTCCACACGACAAAGCCATCTGAGGCAAGTTGCTTTCATCTTTTCCATAACTGGTACTACTTTCACCCTCTTCCTAATGGTTTTGTTCCTGATGCAGTCTTTCTTTGACACTATCATCTACCTCAACATCTGCACCTCTAGCCGCGTTTATCATCTGCTCCTCATTTTTTCTTAAATTCCAACATTCACCCCATCAAGACACATGGTAGTGTGTTGTGCAGCAAAGACAACCTGCTGCAAGATACGCTGTGTGTTATTAGCAGGAGTAATAGTTTAGTAATTTTCCACCTTCTGTATCTCGTACTGTGGTAATCCAAACTATCAAATATTTTCAGTATATATGCCCTACTGGACTCTTACTTCAAATACCAAATATCAAGGCAATCTATTAAGAAATACCTGAGATATAACATCTCCAATTTTGATTGAGTTTCTTCCCCCTTTTTTTTTCTTTGCATTAAAAGTATGGAAAATTTATTTGAAAAGAAAAACCTACTTACCTTTTTTGAAATTTTAATCAAATTTTGTGCATTGATAGGTCTTTACAACCTACAATTATGTGTCAAATTTGGTCTAAATATAAGCCACATGTGCAAAGTTATTCAAAAAAACTGATCAAATTTGACCAAAATTTCTGTGCACACTTAAGCAAAAAGTAACATGAGCTGTCAATCTAACATTTTTACTACAGCTTCATCTAAGAGTAAAAGTTTTTTGTCATTGGAATTAAAGACAGCTGAATTAGAGCAGCAGCAAAACTATAAGGTGAAAGAACATGCAAATACATAAATATTGGTTAGGCCAAGCAAACTAGATTAGCAGTTTCTAGCTTAAGTTTTCAAAAGAATCATACAGCTGGATGGTTTTTATTGATTATTCATTGACAACTTTTCAGCACAAATTTACTAACTTTTATGAAATTATCCTAATGAAAGAGTGTTTAGCACCATTTGATGTTAGCTTAAGCAATTAGCATAAATAAGAGGCTTGATATGGCTGTACTGATTATACGGGGGGTGATGACAATAAACTGTTAATCTAAATTCCATGGCATTACTATAAAGGAAACTATTGACACTGTTTTAGAGAGGAAAAACTACCAAAATATATTTTAAAGATTCTGGTTAGTTCTATAAAGTAAAGGTCTGTTCCGAATAATAGGGTTGCAATCCTAAAGGTTACTATAGAGTGTCACTTTCTTACTTGCTGTGGTTTGTATTGACAAAAATTTATGATATCTAATCAAAAACACTGTAGGTTTGAAAAAAAGGTGCAGCCAAAAAAAAAAGGATTGAGCATGTGACTGAAATGAATGAAATCAAAATTGGCAGCCAAACTGGTAGCTATGCTTACAGCATTGATAAGAATTTTACAGCAAATATTCTTTCATTAGTTAGATAGGCCACGCATTCTGTCTTACCCACCAACATGCCCCATTTTGAACAAAAAACATGGCCTGGCTAACTAATTTCTTTGTAAGCTCCATGAAAAATGTGTTTGTAGCCTTCTACAATTTTCACTGCCTTACTTCCTCTCCACCTTGTCACTTGCATGCATGTTATCTGTACTCTTCAGCACATCCCAAAGCTCTGCACTCCTTCCTGTCAATTTTCCTACAATCCAGCTAGGTATTATTATCAATTTTAGTCACACCTGTTCTGATAGATGAATTTGCCCTAGTCAACTTTTTACACTTAAAAATACCAATGACATTGAGTGTCACTTCCAGAGGACATCCTGGGTCTATGATCTTATTTACCTAATTGGACCACTTTAAGTTTTGCAACCAGTTGCCTGCCTGATGTCAACCTTCTTCCTTTTGAAACTGGGCTTGAGATCAACTTTGGTAAAGTTGGATAACCCAGCTAAGCAACACATAATGATTTTGTAGGCTTTCTAATTGGTTTTATTACTAATGTTACAAGCAGTTTGCAGTTATAAGTAAAAACAATGAAAGTAATATAAATTTATCAGTAGTGCTAGTAGAAGTCTGTGGCTTTGTTTACATTCTTTCCCATCGGCAAGCCTTCAGTTGTTAGCTGCCTGTACTGTGATTCACATTTAGAATACTGTGCTTATATTATTATACAATTTAGGTTTTTTGCTTCAAATTATTACCATCATTGATGATGTAGAAATACTGTACTTTAGAACTTTAAAAAAGTGCCAAACTTTTCCCTGTGAAATATTGTATGGGAAGCATTTTCATAACTGAATTTTATGCCTATTCAGCACTGCTCAGAGGTCAAATAATAAAGATTTTACTGTATGTGTACAGTAAGAAACAAAGAAGTCACATGACTGGAGATTGCTGCTTAATAAAGGTATCTTGTTGATGTTTGGCTCTGTGTTTAAAATTATGGTGTTTTGAATTTTTTAATAGATATACTATGATTTTATTGAGTTGCAATATTTGCAAACAGAAGGTTTTTATTTTATTGTTCAAGAACTACAATAAAACTGTCATCAAATCAGATAAGTTAAGTTTACTATTTAGTGAACATGGTAGGTGATAGCAAAATATTGCAATGACTCAAATCTTTATTGAATATAATTTTTGTTTATTGTTTTCAAACAGTGTATATAAATAAATTGTCCAGCTGGCTACTTAATTATTTGTAACTGTGACATGTTCTAAATGTTTTCATTACTTATTTTTCAATTTATTTAATTTACAGAAGATCAGTGTGGGATTATTGCATATTTGAAAAACAAACAATGGCAATTGCATGGTGGTATTTATTCAAATTTAACAATTTTAAATAGAAAATGTCTGTATAACTTCAGATTTTTTTTTTGTAGGGGTCATGGTGTACAAATTGATTAATCAAATTAAACTGAATAATGAGTCCACCAATTAATCAATTAGCAAGTATCACTAATCGCCCAGTTCTAATCACCAACGTAATACATTTTTCTACCTAAAGAAAGTACTTAAACTACATAGAGTATGTCAGTATGATCCTGAAGAAATCAATCTTTAGATGTTTGGGCCAAAATGAAAAATATGAAACATTTATTTACTTACAGAAATTAAAACTACTTCAGAAAGATAATACCATTGTGATGAAATTGTACATTTTTAATGAACACAAAATATTAGAATAACATCAAATATTTTCCTATGTACAGAAACTAATACTATATATTAGAAGCAGCTAGTACCTCGGTATTGAACTGTTTACTTTAACCATAGAATTATAGATAAGGGTCCATAACAGTTTTTAACATTTTTCAAAACCGTATATGCCAAAACTGCTTTTTGGTCCAAGGCTTTTTTTGGTGGTTACAAGATCCCTAATAACATATTAATTACAAAAAGTAAACAAAAACACCATTAACAATACAGGTTATTCAAATAATTATTGCTGTTCTTAGTCTAAAGTTGGTTAGGATAAATAAATGTAATTGTCTGTTACAATCTGCAGTCACTCTAGTAAAAAAGTGTATTTTTGATTCTAATTTCATATTTTTTTAACTTTTGCATACAGATGATTTCATTACAGTTAGAGTAGAGAAAATAAGATAATAGTTTTATGAAAAAAACAAACTTAAATTACAAGGTTCTCAGCAGTATTTTTATTCTTAGCATGAAAAATGACCTTTCACTCAGACTGACTCAGTAAAGGCATCATAAATTCACATATAAATCTTTAGTAACAATACTTTATTAAGAACCTAATTAAAATCTTGCCAAGTTTTGTTAAGATATACTAAATACATTCAGAGTTATAGTGTGTACAATTTCATAATGGTTACTAGGTCAGTCATATTGACTCCACCTACATGTACAGGGTTAAATGATTAGATACAAAAAGTCAGAATAATATTTATCTACCAACAGAAATTATACCATGAAGGGCAAATTAGTATCACAGTGTTAGGAAAAGCAAGTTAAAATGTTAAATATTTATTTATCTAAATAAACTAATATTTTAGATATCAAAACACTAAACCATTTTTCTAGCTATGAAAACTAATACCATATGACCAATAATTCTTACTTTCAGAGGAGAGAACCAAGGACCAGGTTACCATTGTGATGTATATACATGACAGCCAGTCAAGAACAACTCCAAACCACCGAGTTGAAGAAATAAACAAAAACCATGAGGAACTGTGATGATCTTGGTACTTGTCAAACTGTGCTTCAAATCTCTGTTGAGCACCAAAAGCTCTAATAGTTGTGAGTCCATAAAGTGAGGTACTCAAGTGAGAAAATACTGGGCTGCGGGCTAGTGGGGACACATAACTCTTGATACACTTTTTACAACAAGAAAATCTTTTATGAGAGTATTCTGATTATCTGAATTTTATGATCACTAACTATTTTTTTCAAAATTGAAAACAATTTCTTCTTCTAAAGGTTTGGCACCCATGTCTTAACAGAAAAGAATTGTACTGAAAATTGGGTATATTCTATTTTATTTATTTGAATTACATTGACTAGTACTCATGAATCAGACAGTATAGCAAACTGATCGACTATGTGACAAATAATAATTCACTATGTCAATTTAGATATAAAACTATGGTAATGGATATTAATTAAAAAAAAGTTTTAACTTATATTCATTTGCACAAAAATACTTTAGGGTAAAATCTTGAATTAAAGAAAATTTCTAGTTAGAAATAGCTATTTAAAAAAGATACACTTAAATGCTTATATAAACATTAATAAAAACCACAAGAATATGTACAGCTCTGAAATTCTTATATAAATATTCTCAAGTACATTCCAGATACTTAAGTAAATTGTATCAAATATCTTGCTCACTCCTGGCTCCATATACAAAAGGTTGAGTAAGTTATATTAAAATGACTTGGGAGCCTCAACACATCATTAATGTTTATGTTACCATATCCAGTCATGCTCTATCTTGTGATTGCATACTGACAATATTTCTTCAGTTTAGTTTCCACTGCAACAGGTTCCATCATAAAGTTATAATGTTTAAAGTAAATCACTCCTCCCTGCAGGCTTTCCATATTCCCTCTAGCATATGAGGATGTTGGTTTCCCAGCACTTGTTTTAAAATCTGATCACAAAGAAATCGATACTGCATCCAATGATTGGACCGGTATGTCTTCAAATGGAATAAGATAAATAAACATTTTATTCTCCAGCCACTTGAGGTATGCAACAATTGAACAGAAACTATAATTGGAAGCATTTTTTAACAAACCCATAATTGTTGACATAGCTTTATATGGAAACACTGATCTAACAGTAAGCAGAACCTTTCAATCCACTCTACTGGTCTCTAACTTGGCTATGATATAGTATTCAGTGATGATCTTGAACCCCTTCAAAAAACATTTTGTGACATGCCATGTACAACTTTTAGAAGTTGTTTTCACCCATTTACCAGTAGAAAATTGCATAAGACTTGTTGCACTTATCAAGGTACACATACACTTTTGTGAGTGTCACCACATACTGCCATTTTTCCCTAACTAGGTACCAATCATACTATTTTCTACAGTCACTCTTCCTTTTCTTGTCCACATGACTTGTGTCACTTTTCGAGATGGAGATCCTTGTTGATTATGTTGTGTACTGTTGCTTAGGTCATGTGGACAACATTTGCCAATGCACTTTGTGTTTGTGGAATCTTACCTGTTACAAGACACTACACTTTGCTTATCATAACTGGGTTTTACTTGTTGTAGATCTGGGTGATATTGAGGTACCAAGATAATCCATATTCATTTGTTTTCTGATGCCATTAAGGAAAAAGGATATCCTACTCTTGAAAATTCTAAAAAACTAACCCGAACATGAAGTTATGATCTAATTGTATGAATATTTTGATTTGCATATTCAAAATCATTTGAATATAACATACTCATCCCTCTGCAGAAATTGTAGAAAAAAAAGGCATCTTAATATTAATTATGTTTGTACAAGAAAATAACTTACTGATTCCTTCAAGTCGCTTGATATCACGGGCAGTAGCCATATAGAACCTCTTCAAGACGTAGAAAATGAAAGTGAGGATAAGCGTGGGAAGAGCTATCCATGGGCTAACAATACATACTACAACCAGTATTCCTACAAGATTGAGGAAAATCTACAACAGAGCAGAAGAATATTGTCACAACAGATCAAAAGATAACTCCAAGAATAGCTAGCTTTTATTTTTATTTCACAAATTTGATAGCCACATAAAACTTTCCTTACATGTGCTGTAGTAGCAAGCTTTATAAAAGATATATCAAATTATGAAAAATATGTATTTCAGGCAGATCTGAACTCAATATTTACAGTTCTTTTGAGCTGGAAAATCTCTTCTACCCTGACTTTACTCAAACCCGTGTAGTCAAAATATTCAATTACATCAGATTTTTGTAAGCAAATACTTTGCGCTTTTAATTGTTTCTGCACACTAAAACACACTGATGCTCAAGTAGATTTTGATATTAACAAGTATTAATATACTTCACATATTAAGGAACATGATTTAAGTCCTTGAAAATAGTAAAAGTGTCATTCACATACCATCCCAGTATTGGAGGTATGTTGGTGACATCTTTACTAATTTCATGGTATTAATGTTGGAAACATGTAAATGAAATAGAAGAAACTTGGTTAAGAGCACTGATATGTTAATTATTATCACATGTATAACTATTTAGATAATTTAAGTAAACTAGTAGTATACAAGAAACTTTAATTGGATATTACAGGCCCGATTATAAAAACTAATTAAATAACACATATGTGTGGGAGTTCAGAGAGTTACAATGACATTAATTGATGGGCCAGTTGGCTCTTCTAAATGATGCACATTTAATTGGCATATGTGTTGTGGAAGCTACAAATCAAGCCACTATAAATTTAGATTATCAGCCTTGAAACAAGCTTAAATTTTAAGTAATGTCTTTTTGAAATACTTATGAGATAATTCACAGTAAATCTCTTCTTAAGAACATTCTATTTGTTGCGTCAGCGAGGTCACGTGACTAGTGTTATGCCACGTTTCTAGAACTATCTTGTTCCTTCGTGAATGCCCTAGCATTTACTAGATATAGGGTAGTGTGTTATATATATATATATATATATATATAA